CCCCCAGCACCGTCCGCGGCCCCTGAGGCGCTCATGGTTCGCACCACGGCGCTCTGCTGCGGTGGGGAAGGTGCCTGCGCCAGGCTTTATAGCCGCCTCCGAAGGGGCCGAGCCTCTCTCCTCCCCCTCGCAGCTCTGTGATGGAGCATCGTCTCCTGACAGCCCCACCGCATTCCCGCTCATCCTAGGGAGGGAGGGACGGGACTGAGGGAGCCACTGTTGTCTGTCAGACTTGGAGAGCGCGCAGCTCAGCCGTGACGGGGAGCCCCGTGGCTGGCCTGGAGGAGAGGTAGGGATGTAAGGCACCCCTGGGCTTGCTGCAGCACCCAGGAAACCTGAGGGTAATCTGGGGCGCTAGTGAAGCTGCAGCTGCCCGCGAGCGTGCAGCCGTGCTGCCTCAATCCCCTCGCAAGGGGGTCGCTTCCTTCTTCGCCCACCAGCTCTGTCCTTCCTCCCCCAGGAGCGCAGGGGGCCCCCGTGTCACTCGCATTTTTTGGAGACAATCTCGGCTGCAGGTTGTCAGAGGCCACCCGTCTCCCCTGGAATTCTGAGGGTCTGGGGGCTGCATGTGCAGACCTGGATGGGAGGCAGCGTGCCTGCTGCCATGAAGAGGGTTGATGCACATGCCTGAGAACTGTTAAAGAGGGTTTATGCATTTATTTAAAAAATGCTGTTGATTTTCATTTTTTAGTTCCCAAAACACCACAGTTCACTTGTTCAACGACATGACTCACTCAGGGTGCTAAGTAAGAGGGTGCTTAGGGTGCATAAACCAAATAGGGGAGCAAACAGGGTGCCATGGGGATTCCTGTGCTTGTGCAGGGACAAATTGTCTTTTTTTTTTTCTTCTTTTTCCTACAAAACATCTGCCTCTTGCCTCCCACCTCCAGAAGCTGTTCCTGTTCCTGCTCAGTTGGGTATCCTGGCACAAGGTCCTGCTGTGTCTTTTCTGACATGCTCAGCTGCGTAAGATGGGGTGGCAGTGAATGCCAGTGATGCCCCCAAAAGAAAAGAAGATTTCTCCTGATGCCTCAAGGACTTTGGTACTGGGTTATACAAGCTGGTGACAAAAAATAAAGGAAGTCCTGCTGCAGCACTAGGTCAGCGTCACAGATGGGTAGGCTTTTTTTTTTTTTTTTTTTTTTTTGTCCAAGTCATTGTACATTACGTTGGAATGTGACTGTGGTAGTATAAGACTTATTACTATATGCTTGTTTACTAGGGCACCTATGAATCCACAAATCAGGACCTTCTTGTGTTCAGAGATGTTCAGAAAATAAGGAAAGATTGCCCATCCGTGCCAAGCAACACCAGTTCGTGATGTTTGGGTCTTCCTGTGATTGGATCCTTCCTACTGAGTAATGATTTATTGTGGCAGCATTATTTAGTAGTACACTTGTAATTCCCAGCAAGGATTTTGTTATTATCCTTCAAGCAAGGTTATCCTGGGAGAAGTGAGATATTCAGTAAGTTGTACGAGAGCTTCACTGCTGTGGGAAATAGGACACCTTGAAGGGGAGGTGTTTTTCCTCTGGAGATCCCAGGGATGTGCTAAAGCAAAAGCAAATCTCACATGTAAACTGGACATTTTTGCACAATCTCATATACCAGAGAGACTGGAGAATCTGTTGACAAGAAGCCACAGATCATGGTGCTGTGAACTGATTGCTAACATAGTGATGGAGATGGTGGAAGAAGGGGCGGTCATTTCTGCTAACACTGGCAGAAGAGAAGGTATCACCACAGCTGATGGAGGTGCTCAGTGGCTATTCGGTGGCTGAAGCCAGGCCTCAGGGAAAGGCCTACCCACTCATTTTAGCTCTGTCTGCTTTACTCTTCAGCTCTGAGATTGGTGGCTGCGCCTTGGAAATCGTGCACTTTTGCACATTATAATGACAACTGTCTGCACTTGTATTGTCAACCCTAATTTTTCAGGAATTAAACTTCATTTTGCATAATGTTTCTGTTGGACTAACAGAGCCCAGTGCCAGTTTGTACACACGCTTAGGAAAAAACTTCTCAAGGAAACACATAATTTATTTTCTTGTATTTATATGAATGCAGAACAATAATGCTTTATTAGATTAAGCTACGTTCTTGGGCTCCTATAACACAAAACCAATTTTGTTTTCCATCATACAATGTTGCATGAATTTAGTCTGTAGTTCCTGTTGGCATTTATTTTTATTAAAAACACTGAAGTTACTAGCTTTTGAGAACTGCCTGTGGCACATGCATGGTGACTTTTGAGACACATCTTAGCAGCTCTAGCTAGATGCTTCAGCTGAGCTATCTAGGGACAACAGAGAAACAGCCATCCCTGGAGCCTCCTCTTCCCCCACTCAGTAGCCCTGGAGGCTGTGTCCAGCCCAGCTGTGTCTGGAAAGACCCCAGAAGTCCTGTGTTTTCTTCATCCAACCCCAGGTTCTTCCTACCGTCATACAAGACAGATTATTTTGCTCCCTGGCTTGGTTGCTCGTGCAACCTCGTGCTTTCCCAGGCACTGGCCACCACTCACCCTCGGGCATCCAGGAGGCTGTTGGCAGGACACAGAGCATGTTGGGGCCTATCTGGGTACAAAAGCTTTGGTGTAAATATATCCTTAAAAAGGAGAGCTCCTGTTTCTGTAGACAGGCATAGGGTGTAGGTATGTTTGTGACGGGACAGTCTGAGCAAGGGTCCCATGCGGCTGTTTAAGGCTGCTTTCCCAGTCTGCTACCTGTCTTCAGTGAACCATCTAATAAGGCAGATTTTGCACATGAACAGTGAAACTGTTTATAGTGAACCAGAGAGTCAGAAATTCTTCCATTGCCTCAAAGCAGGGAAGCAAAGCAAACCTCTGCTATGGGGAAGGATGTTCTGGGTAGGCAACATGCACTGAGCTACTCTGGAGTTTCACTGTCTATACACTATTTGCCAAGTGCCCTTTTTGGACAGGTTTTCAAATCAATAAGCAGTGTTGAGCCAACTGTGAAAATTAGAAGGCCTTTTTACTTTACATTCGCTGTTGCTTATGGGATCTATAGGGTGTATTGATACCATAGGGATTTTCCGAATAACATCAGTGATGATTCTGGTCCATGATACATTTCCCCAGAAAGCCTTGTTCAGGAGAATTCAGCGGTTTCCTTGGTCCTTTAGTTTTCTGAGACTTCTTGAGAAAAAAATAAAAATGGTTAGCCCAAATTCTGCATAGTGCTTGGCCAGGACACTTGCAGACTTCAGAGGGAGCTTTGCTGAAAAATGAGGCATATTCACTGATTTGAGGGTCTCAAGGGGACTGAGCAATGCAGTGCCAAGGTATTGGGCAAGTTTGTTAGCTGCTTGTTTTCCCACAAGGAAGGTTTAGTAAGTCAAAGCACGCTAAAAGGTTGATGCGAAGAGGTTTTATTTGGTATACAAAGAAACTGGAAAGGCTTCAGAGAGTATTTGAGATGTTTATGTCTGGTAGTTCAAACTGATGTTCCACCTCAACGGGGCACCCGAAACTGGGGGAAATCCACATAATTCATCCTTAGAGAAAGCAGACATAGCAGCAAGCATCTGTCATCACCATTGCACAAGAACGGTATCAATGTGGCTGCTCCATTATCTCTCAGTGATCAGACAGAAGCTTTTTGAGCGTTGGGAGAAACCTGGGTGAAATGCTTATCCAGTCAGTAGATCTGAAGGAGGGGTTCGTGCCCTTTCCTTTGAGTGAGGGGTGTTCAGTGTTGGAAAAACAAAACAAGCTTCAAGGCAGCCTTGGTGAGTGAGCAGGAGCCATGTGAGCCTCTGGGCAGCCGGAAATGCGGTGCCACAAGCAAAGATAATGCAACTCACTTAAAGATCAGAGAGCAGCTCATTTATATCAATATTTTCCTTTCCTGCTCTTCCTGCTCAGCCATTAAAGTGAAGGAACCCACAGTGGCCCGGTCAAGTTTGAACTAAACAACCGGTTTGCGAAAGAAGGAGACAAACTGTCCTCTGGGTCGTTAGTGTCTTTTTTACCAGCTGAGCTTGTGGCCCACAGACGATACAAAATCCTCTTTTCCCAGCTTCTTGTAATACAGTATTCAACCGGCGTCGAGAATAAGAGATTCTCTTGTTTTCAGAAATGGTGGCTTTGTGGTTTTCAGTGACCACGGAGGGATTTAAAAAGAAATCTGGAAGTGCTTTGATATGGAGGAGCCGGAAATGCTGAGAAGTCAGGCAGCATCAGAATGGAGCATTATCCCTGCATATTTTTATAAATAATAAGGCATACATTTTAGATAAAAGATTAGCTTATCAGACCTTTTTTCCAGAAGGGCTGATCACTAGTGTTAAAAGCTTCAGGGTACTATGACTTCTGATAGCCAGCTCTGGCTTGCCTAACTGCTTTAGATGGTTTGAAAGAACCTAAATTGGGGCTCCCACTGCTTGAAAATCTTACTTGGAGTAAAAGAAAAAGCTCAAGACCGTGAAAGAGCATCGGTGAAGCAAGAGTTCTTGCCTATGTCCTTTATGGACTGGATTGTGTTACTGTCTGGATTCAAGCAGCCCCCTCCAAATCTTCAGATGGGATACTGTGGAGGCCAAGAGTATCATCTGGGTTCAGAAAAGGCGTTAGTCATGTTCTGGAAGCATCGGTCCGATCTCAGGCTGAGTGATGGCTGCTGCAGGATGTGAAGAGGAGTTGGCCAAGCCACATCTGGCAATTCCCAGCAATAACCAAAGAGCATTCAAGGCCCGAAGGCCCAGCTTGCTCAACCAAGGGCCCTTTCCTAGCGAGTTTGCTGCTGTGGATGGTTCACTGAATCTTGGCTGCCTTTGGAGCCCAATATTTACATGAGGAGCCAGACATTTGGCCGGATGTATATGTATGGAAATGAGGTGGGATTTTTTAGGTTGCAATGACAGGCAATGGATGAATATGGTAGCAGGTCACTCAAGTGTTTTGGAGGGGAACTCTTGAGTTTGTTTTAACAAAAAGGAAAGGGTCTGCTACGTTGGACATGTGCAAGTGAGATCTGAGCTAAAAGGCATCAGCTGTGGCCCTTCAGGAAGCTGCAGATTTGGGATGTCAGATAGTTTTTGAACACCTCTTGTAGCATTTGGTATGATTGGATCTGGTCCAGTTCTTAAAAATGAATTAGTGCAATTAATTGCATCTTAAGGGTGAGCTCTAACCCGGACAGCTTTTTGTGCAACAGCAAAAGCCAAATGCAAATCTTGCTGTGAGGTATTGTTTAAATCTGAAATCATAGGAACATTACTCTGGTTTCTTGTTTTGGCAGCCTATCAAAATAGATTTCTGAGGGATTTTTCTCCAAAGTAGAGATGTTTTTCTCCCCTTTGCTCTAAATATCCTTGGAAAAGTTCCTGGAAAAGCATTTGATCAAAAAAAGTACTACTACTTGCACCCAGGCATCAGATCTCTCCAAACTTTTCCTACCTTTTGTTCATGAAGGCATAATGAAAAAGCCAGGGAAACTGGCAGAAAGTTTTGCACTTCCCTTTGTGAGCTCTGAATCAAATATTTTGGGACAAGGAAACGAATCTTTCACTGGTGTCAGACATCCAAAGAACCTTCCTTGTACACTCTGCACTAACTAATATACAGATCCAGAGCAGTGTCAATAAATAATTTTGCAAGGACTATATGTAGTTTCTGCTTTGAAGTGAGGCTTGTCCAGCAGTTGCTATGTGATTGCCTTTCCCCTTCTCTGCTGAAGATATTCATGTCAGAAGTTTCACTATGCGCTCAGTGACCATGTCAAGAAAAATGAAGTTTCCTGACCAACACAAACATCTGGAGCGTGACCGCTGGGAACATTTACCAGCTTCGCTGTGGCCTCTAGTCCCTTGCCAAGCGCAGGCTTTATGTCCTTTCCTGGAACTGAGCAGCAGAGGGCAAATCCTTCAGCCTTTAACCCAAGCAACCCCCTTCCAAATGACAGGCGTTTTGTCTGTATAAGGGCTGCAGGAGAGGGCAGAAAGACAGTGACTGTGACTGTTAACTCAAGCAGTGCCGAGTCAGGGACGGGGCTATTTCTTGCACAGTTGAGCTATAGCTAAAGGTATATCTATAGCTAACCCATACAGATGAGCATGCTATCTGCTCTGGATGCTGCACGAGCAATTGGGTGTCTTAACTAAAGTGCCGAGAACATTAGCCCAGCACAACTGTTGGCGTAAGCTATATTCAGGGGGGCTGTTTATTTCAGCTGGTGCCTCTGACTGCTGAATCCTGACCCGGAGCCACAACCCACTATGGGGGCACCTCGTCAGGGGCTGCAGCAGGGATTTCTGCTACTCATTTCCACGTGAGGTGTGCGGCCTCCATCCCTTCCAAGTTAGTCACCTCCCATTTAAGGTGCTCTGATATTACGGGGGTCAGATGAAGTGATCACTGCAGCCGCCGATGGTTGCAGGCTCCTCTGGAGCTATGCTGTAGGGCTGGCGTGCAGCTACACCAACCTTATGGTGGCAAGTCTGTTTCAAAGGCAACGTAAAGCTAGTGGTGACTTCCCACACGAGTAACCTGCCTTGAGAAAAGCAGGGAAGGTTGATCCCCTAGGAATGACAGCACAGAGCCAGCAGTCCTTCCTCAACCCTTTCCTGTTAGGTTTGCCATAAAATAGCTGACAACCTCCTTCTCTTGTCCAGTGGTCCTTCCTACAGTGCCCTACAAATGAAGGAGCAATTATTTTTACAAGCTTTAAACTAAGAATTGTTACACAAAATAATGTGATTGTTTTTAAAGATTATATAGTTTTGGAGATTGTAAGATGGTTGATACAAATAAAAAAAATCTTAATTGCACATATGTCCATTTCAAATGTAAATTTGCAGTAGTGAGAGAGCTGCTTAATGCTGTTTTATGAGGTAATAGGCTATGTCTGATGTAGGAAGAGCTTGAATCAATACCAGCTGAGGTAAGCAGAGGGACTGCTCTATGTGGAGGCCTCCTAGGTGATAATTCTGTAGCCCTGCCTGTGCTGGACACATTAGACAGGTCAAGCCTGAACACTGTGTTTCATGGAGCTGTAGTTTAGGCACAGCATAAGAGCTAAGTGTTCTCCTCAAGGTGTATATCACTCTCTACATGTTCGCATCCAACAATAGAAAGAGAGGCTGAACAGAGTAGCTCTTCAAGTCTTTCAGTTTTATGCAGGAGGTATCTAAGTAGCAGTACTCCTTCAGCACTGGATTTATACTCAGGAGAGCTAAGCCTCAGTCTCTCTTGACTCTGGCCCTTGTCTCCAGCAGGACTTATTCGTGGGTTTAGCTGGCTGTGCTGAAAGGAGGGCTCTGTATCACAGGTGAAAACTTCTCCAGCAGACCTAAAAGCTTGGGCTTGGCCCTGAAGGGGCAAGGGCAACCACATAAAGGTTGGAGGTAGCTCATCCTCACGACAGCTGAGCAGAGGGTTTGGGAACTCTGTGGAAGCAGAGCTAGATTGCAGGCCTCTCTCAAGGGGTCCGCATGTCTCTAGGTGCAAGTCCCCTTATTTATATAAGTCCCCGTTATAAATATATATATATACATACACATATATAAGTCCCCAATAGTGCTCACAGGAGGGCTGGACCATGACAAGACAGACGACGGGGTTACGTGGCAATGCCCGAGAATGCTGCTCCCTCAAACCAGTGCTATTTTCCCCGCGTGACAGCTTTCCTTCTTGCTTGTTTCCACCTTGTGACTGGCTCCTTTTAACTCATTGCTTGCTGGTGCAGCATGCTCAAGGCCAAGAGGAAACCTGGCACTGGGTTCAGAAGCAGAGCAAGATGCCAGGAATCTTTTTCATTTTGCCGGCAGCATATTTTGTTGGTACCGAAGCATGGCTTTGCTGGAGGCGTGACCTCTCTGGACCTAGATTCAGTCCACACAGTCCTTAAAGACCGATGGTATCCACCCTCCCCGCACTCAGCGCTTTGATAAGTTCATGTGCAATCACTTCTGGCAGCGGTTCAACACTCCAATCACAGTTGTGAAGACAAATTGCTCATGAGTTAGCCAGTGTCTTGTCCTTCTTCTGCTTAGCTCATCCTCTTGGGAAGGTGATGACACCCCCCATCAGTCCACGTCTTCACCTTAGATGCCCTAGTGCTTATGTCGGGAGCCAGGAGCATCTGAGAGCTGGGCCTGTTTGGCCTAACAAAGAGATGACTGAGAGGGGATCTGATCAAGTATCTGGAGGGATATCAAGTATCAAAATGATGAGGCCAGACTGTTTTCAGTTGTTGCCAGCAATAGCACAAGAGGCAACAGTCACAAACTCAGTTAGTTCTGCCTGAATATGAGGAAAAACTCAACTGTGAAGGTGCCAGAGCACTAGAGCAGGTTGCCCAGAGAGGCTGCGGAGTCTCCTTCTCCAGAAATGCTCAGATCTGCCTGCACAGGGTCCTGGGCAATGAGCTCTATCTCACTGTGCTTGTGGGCAGGGGCAGGTGGCCCAGATGATTTCCAGAGGTCCCTTCTCAACTTCAGTATTCTGGGATGCTGTGAGGAAGGCTTGTGTCAAAGCAGCCTTGAATGCTCCCATGCTGTAGGGTAGAAGCCAGAAGCAACCACCGTCGAATCCTGCAGCATGCCTTGAATTAACTGTTGTTTGGAGTAAAAATCCAATCCAGTTGATTGTAGCTTTGATAAAATCCGCAAGTAAGAAGTCAGGTCAACTCGGCCTGAAAGCCCATAGGCACCACAGGCGCCCCCTGACTAAAGGCGCACAGAGGCCCCGGGAGGCCACACCCTAATCCACCTCACCATGCACTCATCTATCTCACACTTCCGGAGCATGCCCAGGAGGATGCTGTGAGGGACAGTGTCAAAAGCCTTGGTGAAGTCAAGATAGACGACCTCCACCGCTCTCCCCTCAT